TTGCTACGTCGTCGCGATAACTGTCTATATTCCGTATCAAACGAATGCGGTTTGACAGGTCCGATTTCTGTATACTTCAGGGGAACGAACCGAGTACATGGCGAGTTAAGCTTTCCCTTCATTAATAACCAACAGGTCTCAAGCGGCGCATCATGTGGTAGTGTCCATTCAGTCTGACTTATGGCTTGGACGAGTACGTTAAAGTCCATCTTCTAATAGTTGCATTTTGGCTTCCGTTGGTTATAATGCGGTAACGACAGTCCTATGCTTGCCACAATGGAGCAGTGGTCACTTCGCCAGAGGTTCGATGACTCTGATCTCGTTCAGCTTCTGCTCACAGCACGTAAACATTAGGTCCAGACAAGAAGCGGAGTGCGGAGTTACGCGCGTCTGTTGGATGATATGGTGCGTTGCCCCGATTTCAAGTCATTTTACCGATTTGAGCCTCAACGTTGTCATGAGCGGGAAGAAGCCGAGCGTCTCTACAGAATATCATAGTTACATTTAGATCCCCCATCAGTAAGAACTGAGGGCCGCTCATGTGCTTCTGTATATGTGGTAGCCAATCGCAACAATTGGTGAATGGGCTACGGTAGATAACACCCACCATTAGTTCTGCGTGTCTAAGGCGGATTGTGCATCACAATTGCTCGCGTAAATTATCCTCGCTCCGATAGGTGCTGGTAAGTTTGCCAGATAGTGACAATTTTATGTACAACAGAACACGACCGTGAGCCTTTGATTTTGAGTCACATCGGAAACAAGAGTATCTTGGCAACGCGAATCACTGGGGTATGACGTCGGAGTTCAGTCAAGTCTCTGAAACTCCTAAAACGTCTTGCCGCTCCGAGACAGCGAAGCGGCACAGTTCGTCACTTTTGTTCACTAGGCTGCCCACGTTGGCGAATGCCACAAGAGTTCCTTCGTGGTACTGCGGGACGTGCCTGGAGGTTGAGCCACCGGTCGTACACCCATCTTGATCATCCAAAAATCTCCAATTTGTAAGTCAGTCTTACCTTCCTCTGTACGGCGTTTAACCTTAATGACCGCAGCCTTCAAATGATCTGTCTTCGGTTTCCAATGCTCGGCAGATGTGAACCTTTATAACTTTCAGCCTTGATAGAGGAGACAGAATGAGCCGCGGCATATTACAATTTGCAAAGGTGATTCTCAGAGGTCGACATGATTGATTAGTTTGATGGCCAAGTCGGATTACTTGTTTAATCGCCACACTGTCTTCGCCCACATCCAAGAGTCTATCCATGAGCCTCTGGAGGAACTCAACATCGTGATCATAACGTATCTGAGGGTTTTCATCTTTTGACTCTGGTATGTGGAAGACCATGAGATTATGACGCCTCAGCGAAATCAGTGATGAATTGTGGGAGCAGGACTAGAGGCGCTTATCTGTTCGGGTTGTTGTTTATCAGCAGGGGAGGCCTGGGCTCAATTACATGGCTTTTGAATGGACCATGGATCATCGGTGTTCAGCAGTTCACAGACAGGCTCTGCAAAATTTATGGACTGATCAATGAAGTGGCATCTCGTAGGTTCCTAATCTGAGTCTTCCATCGGTGAGGAACATTGAGCGTGAGGCTCGGTCGGGATCGAAGACGCTGGTGGTGGTTCAGATCCCGGAGTGACAAGAGAAGGCGAGATGACATAGGTACTTTCACGAGGGCGTTTGACCCCACGTAATGGACGGTTGTTTCTGTCTGGAAGAGAGGTTTTCCCGTAATTGTTGGCGGTCGCTGAGTATTCTGATGTCTTGCACCGCGACATTTATCACATATAACTTGGAAAAACCGACATCGGATGTCTAGATTTTCAAAACACATCAACAGATAAGGCAATGCACGAAATATGGAACAAAACATCGCAGCCGAAGTGCATGTGCCTTATTTCCCACAACTTTCGAACACGAACCACAAGTAGCTTGAGACGGCATCACAAGGTAGAGCAAACCCAAGATGGCGGACAGATGGCAGTATGGCAAATCAATGAGATCTCCGGAATTAGCCAAAGAATAGCCACCAAAGTTGCACCGATTGAAAAATACGCCAAAAGAAGAATATCAAGGCACAATTCAGAGAAATACTAACACAGTAATCCGAAACAAAAGTAGTATCCAGCACAATGTGATATAAAAATCCGGGGCGTCCGGGGGTACAGCTCCAAAATTGTATTTCATTATGCAAACAACCTTGTGGCAGCAATGACACATTGTGACCAACTTTCGAACAGTCAGCCCGAAATCCGCCAATCAGTGGCTCACTGGAAACGGTATGTCGGAACTTGATGGATGGGAATACATCGTTTTCTTACATCATGGCCAAAGTTAACAATCTGATTCGACACCCAAGTTCCAAAGATCACATAATGCAAAGTAACGTTGAGTTGTTTCCTTAAGATGTTCAGTCCTATGCAAACAACTTCGGAGTTTAGAGCCCACTTCTCAAGACTAACAGCAGTTGCCAGAGTTTTACTCCCGCAAAATCCCTTCAAAAACTTACGGGGGTGACATTTTCCAAGCGAACACGCGCGAACGCAAGGTTGTACCTTAGTACAACTACAGCTCCCAACGGACATATTGAAAATCATGCTCCTACTGCGCACAAAAGATGGCAACTGATACTTTCGAGGAAAAGCGTATCAACAGACTGAAGGTGTATCTATGGACAGCCCATTTGGACCCTTGCTGGCGGACGTACTCATGGGTATGAGTGAGTGGAATCTATACATCATCAAGTCCGCAACTTTACAAAAGCTCTACGTCGATGATATATTGGTAGTCATGGATTCAAATAAAGCCACTGTACTTGCAACCAGAACGATCAATGGTGTGCATCAGAATCATACTGTGACCTGTGAAACTGAACACGACGGCTGTCTCCCATACTTAGACATACTGCTCACACGACGACCAGATGGCTCGACCAAAGGACAGTATACCGGAAGGCGACTTGGACAGCTCAATACTTACACTCTAGGAGTTGCTCGCTAATCGGTCACAAGTGCTTCCTAGTTCGAACTTTGTTCCATTGTGCTCAAATGATTTGTACCACATACATACTGGAAGAAAAGAAGTACTGCTGTTTGACGTGCTGCTATCTAAAGGCTATCCATCGAAATTCATGAAGCGCTTTCGTCGGTCGATGGAACGTGATCGAGAGATAACGGGTACAAAACCGGTTTTCACTGAGTTGCATTTGAAAGGTGGCCACCTCATGAAAGTCACCGCCAAAAGAATAGGTACCTCAACGGAAAAGACGTGCAGTGCAACAGAGCTACGCTCGCTCGTGACCACAAAACCACTGCTTAATTGTTCAGTGAAGACACCGGTGTCGAAGCAGTGCACGTCCCACTACTCATACAAATTCACATGTAGCTGTGAAGAGAGTTAGCTTGAGCGCACTGATCGAAACCTAGATGTTTGAGTCAATAAACACATACCAAAGTGGCTCCACAAACGGATGAGACATACGACGGTTGCACCCGGTGAATTGAAAGACAAAGTTGACTGTGCAGTTACGAAGTATTTAATGAGCACCATTCATCATGTAAACCCTCATGCCTAGTCAAGGGCCTCACGTACTCATGCTACTCGCGTCCATTGTCATCAATCGGCAACGCCCACCACTCTGTGTCCCAAAAAGAGCTGATAGTGACATTAAGCCTACCGCGGTAGGGTGAAAGGCAACAATCGGAAAACAGTTGACTATTACTTGATTTCATGTGGTATTGTTTTGCAGCCGTTGGTAAATGCATGTGCATGGCCGACGAGTATACACGAACTGACAGTACCACCTTACAATCTTCGTCTTCTGATATTGTTATTTGGCATTATTAATCGTCTGGTAAACACGAGCAGCAATTTTTCTCCTGCTTATGTTTTTTCAAGGAAGTGCTGATACGCCTCACCTTGACTTTCTGGATGTTTCTTTTTCTGTCTGGCTTCTTTTGAGTCTCTGTTGCTCTGCCCCTTTTTGGAACGCTTAGTGAGCTTATACAGGTACTTCAGAGATAGATTCATCTGCCTCTATTTATCTAAAGTGCTGTTCTTTGCTCAATCGGTCGACGTGCGGACTAAACGGCATTTACGTTACATTGCGAAATTTCTTTCCGTCTAGTTACTGACCTGTCCTCTTCACTTTCCGGTAGACTGATCGTTTGATCCGTCTATCCAGTCGTCACGTGTGCAGTGTATTTAAGTTTTGAGTATGTTAGTCCTATTCAGGCTCACATATCGTGGTAAGCTTTTGGTGCATTCAGTTACGCATTTTCCTCATCCGAATCCAGGACTGAAAGGATGTCATCACAGGCTTCACTGAAGCTAGCCGCAGACAAGGCAAATTCGGTCTTTTGTTGGTTAGAACCGTTGTGTTCATGAATGCACCTCAAATTCTTGTTTGATCTTTAGGCTGCTTCGGTTATCTTGGTGTTTGATATGCAGTATTCATCTACATCTGCCATGTCTTGGACGAAGGTTACGACCAGCGATTTTTATGAGTCATTTGGCCCGGCTTTGAGACTAGGATTGAAAGTGTTACCCCAAAATGGTGCCTCCTTACTCACTTCAGCTCTCACCTCTTCAGCCAGGGTCGGATTTGCAGTGTTCTGCAATTAGTGTGCTTCCGTGTGTTATGGCAGTGGCAGTGACCAACCAACTTACCACATAGCTTCCACTAGAAAGTACTCATAATAAGCTGGAGGTTAGCGGATTTACCTACCGACAAGCCATCTTTCGGTTGGAGTAACGATAGCACAATGTCCAACAAAAAGCAAGGAAGCTTTAAATGAGTCTTCATTGTGACTCGCTTCTCAACGCCGTTTTCTTGAGGATGGGTGTTTTTTTAGCTTTCTTGCACGTTCTCGAAAGCCAGCAGCCGTGGGTGGCCTTCGGTCGACTAACGATATCTGTCCGGACGTTAAAGACCAGTTTTGCGTCCCTGCTAGCGATTTACTAATCTCGTAGGGCATCGTTTGACCTAACTAGTATGGATAAATAGACAACAAACCGTTCACAAAATGATTGTCGAGGTAGAGTGAGACAATCGGTAGGTAAAAATGTTCGAATTTAAAAATATATTCTCAAGTTGTGTACGTTGGCCTTGGTACGAGTCACATGACGTTTAGCCTCCTCTGTCAGCTTTGACGTCGGAAACGTGCTCCCTACCATCGACGCTTAAGTGGGTCCCGTTGGTTCTGCGTCATCGGACTGTGAGGGAGAATGTTGAGAGGAATAGTTCGGAGGCGGAGTTGAAGGTAGGGATGACACAAGCCGACGCGAATCGCATTCTGAATGACTAGACGATCGGGACTCAACCGGAACAGGAGTGTGTGCTCTGCGATAACCGTACGGTCGTGGCGGAAGTGGATGCGAGTTTGTTGCAACATCCTCATCTGCGGTTGGAGGGTCGCCGATCTCCATGCATTCCTGATAATTAGGGAGCTTCGGAAGCATTGATGGCGGGAATATGTCTACAACTGAAATCGCTGATGGGATAAAATATGAAAACGATTAGTTAGCTTTCGTTTTTACAAATTTTGTAGGCTAGAAAACGGATACTTAAAATTCCAATTACGTGAGGCAAGTAATATTTACCTGAAAAATCGGCTTCCTCCAGATCGATGTGGCTATTGTGCCGCTTGGAAAAGGTCACCTGAACACGGCTCATCTGGTTGGCTTTCATACACTTTGAGGAAGCACTTACAATTATTGGTTGGACGGTCATTTTAAATCACTTCTTGTTTGAATGGATTGCGATGTGCAATCTCAATGTAGGCTGCGCTTCGCATTGTAGTGAACCTTGGCTATTCGAGCACGGACCGTAACTGATGAGGTAGATGGATAGATTGAGTGTTGCGCGCCCGAAAGCACTGCACTCTACTACCGGTTCGAACTTATTTAATCTCAGCAGGTAGATACAGCAGGCATGTAGGTGCCATGTGTCTTACAGCGAAACTAAAGCGATAGCGAAAATTGTTATCCAACTGGCACCACGGGAAAGTTTTGTCGCCATGTTCATTGCATGCGTAGTGGAGAAAGCAGCCTTAAACACAGCACGTATTACAATACTCATAAAATGGGTGCTGCTGAACAACACTTGGGCATGAGGACAATGACACTTTCTAACTGTAGTTGACTAGGTTTGCGAAACGAAAGGGAACCGGTGCATCTTAACAGCGGAATTATTGGTCGACTGGAGTAAAATGTTTCCACGAAAAAATATGTGTGCCAGTGAGCATAATGAACAACGCTTGATGTTCTGGAATACAACCGTCCTAAGCACATGAAGGCAAATTATCAAGCAGACAGTAAATGTGGGCTCAGTTTCTGATGAGAAGACGTCAGGCTGGTGCAATAAAATAGTAGGGACCTGGCAAATTGCATCCAGCTCACGGTTGTGGCTTCTTGGACTGTATACCTGGGTCCCATTATATACGTGGCCCATATTTACCCATAGTCTATTATTGATAGTGAGATGAAAATTCCCATGTAGTGCTTCTGAGTACGGGATATTTTAACTTTGTAATGGGAGTTCATCGCAACAACTTCAAAGTGAGATAGTCCTTCACATGGCCCAAAAAGCACTAGACGGCCGTTTCAACATGTTGGATACTCGTGGCTAAGATGCGGTATACAGCAGTTAGCTTGTAAATCCTGGCGGTCCACGGCTGTCCTCCATGGCTCAGTAGCATAAGCTGCTGACTGGTGCCTCAAGCCACCAGTGATCATGGACCCGGATCCTGCTGGAGCCGATGCATGCGCAGTACTTACGAGACCTAACAAATCGAAACGGACGCCTAGTGGTTTCCCGGTCATGTAGAGGACTATCTGATTTGGAAACCGTTGCGATGAATTCTTATTTAATTTCCCTATATTCTCTGTCGACAACTCGGAGCAGAAAGGACGCAATAAATTACTCTTGAATAGAGATCCTTCGTAGGTAGCCAAAGTTCAAATTCCCTTGTCTTTAATGTCGTTATCACATGCTGCATATTTTCATCCACTTCAAACGCTTTCTGTGTCCTTTAGTGTTTTGAGGGTCATATACTTGCTTCAGCAACTACTTCTGCCTCCCGCGGCAGACTTAAGATTTGCGCCCCTGTAGTTTTAAAGCGGGAAACCCACACAATTGCGAACAGACTTTATATATTTGGATTCATATGACAACAAAGATCAAATTTAAAGTAGTGCCATAAATGAAGGTGTCTGTATTGTTACAATACAGGTGTGCAAAATTTACTCATACATTTTTGTGCACTGCTTGAAGAAATAGTATTGATAACACCAACAAAATTCAGTCTATTAGTGAATTCCCTCTCTATGGAGAAAACTGCCAATCCGTGAGCCTTGTCTGGCTCATTGATGATGGAAGGTAGTTTGAGAATGCGCTCTCACAGCTGGCTGTGCTAATAGTTCGAGTAAGAAACATGCGCAGCAGGTTCCAAAAGTAATATTTCTGTATGAAGTTTGAGAGTTCAGACGATCCCTTAATTTTTTCGTTTCCAGAGTCAACCGTGTTACTTATTAGTTAACCTCTCATGCAACATAAAACTCCAAAACACAAAAATTCCCAAAGTGGCGTGTGCAAAACCGAAAAAAATCGTTTTCTGCAGGTTGTATTTCGTTTCCTTCCCTTATTTCGCCATGGTTCTGATGGCACATTATCTGTAATCAGATTGTGAATATATATATATATATATATATATATATATATATATATGCGAGAGTTCCTATGGTGCGTTGAGGCTGGTGGTGGCTAGATTCTGACAGATGGTCTACCCACTGCTGCTACTGATATGTCATGGGCTCATGTCCTGGGCGCCTCCTCGTGGCGACCGCTGGGTAGGAGTTAGGTTACGCCCTTCTCCCTACTAAGATCCAGGATACAAATCCGCATGAGTCAGTGAACTGACCATGTGCTAAACCCGCTGCCTTTCGAGTGCACATTTAATCGAAGGCTTTGGCTGAGGACCCGAGTCGTTCTCCTGTCAGGTGTGGGCGCCCTGCTAGTATTCTGATCCACATTTTTCGGAGGTTGGGGAAGTGGTCCATGGCCCTCTTCCCGTAAAACGTAGCCATGGGAGACAATAGGTCTACGAGTTATAAGCCCACAGCTCGATTGGTGTAGAGCAGGAGCGCCACGCATTGTCTCTGACGATGGGAGGGTACCTCCGGGTGTTCAATGGTTTGCTGCTGCCCGCCTCAAGTAAGGCAACCCGTGGTCAAATTGCTGCTAACTCATCAAAACTCACATGCGTCTGGCGGTGGTCGCAGGTGCGTATACTACTACGATGGCAAACCATATATAAATCCTTCCAATATCTCAATATCTCTTACGGCCCTCAAGCAAATCCCAATCTGTCTGAAATCACATTCTGGAGCTGGATCTGCTCCCCACTGCCTTGTCCGTCAGGCTATTTAGCCAAACGCTTCGGGCAGAGTCCCTCAAGCAAACCTCCGAAGCACAACCGCCACCTCGCGTGCGATTGCTTACCAATGCAACGTATACCTGTGCGCAAAGCACTCAGCATCGGGTGCTGGAATGTGCGCACACTACTGGACCGGAAATCGTGTGAGCGCCGCAGTGCACTTGTCGGGATGGAACTGGCGCGTTGCCACGTCGATATTGCGGCCCTCAGTGAAACTCGGCTCACTGAGCAAGGTAAGTTACATGAAACGGATGTTGGCTACACATTCTACTGGGTGGGCAACGCCCCCTCAGCACCACATGAACATGGGGTCGGATTGCAATATCCGATCGCCTAAAGTGACGGCTCGTGGGTGAACCAACAGGCATCAGCGCGCGACTAATGACTGTTCGCTACGATTCGAAGAGGCAAGTTTACCACTTTTATAAGCACGTGCGCTCCGACTATGTGTTATCCTGATGACACGCGTGATTAATTCTACACTCAGCTTCCTCCGTGCTACGGTTTGTGCCGAGGAGCGACCGACTATACCTGCTGGGTGATTTCAACGCGCGCGTTGGGCGTGATGCATCAGCGTGGACAGATGTTATCGGTCTTCATGGCATTAGTTGAACGAATGCAAACGGTGACAGGCTGCTCTCACTGTGTGCCACTCGCGGCCTGACGATCACCAACACTCGGTTTGCACTGAGTGCGAATGATATAGCAACTTGGACGCACCCACCGAGTGGTCACTCGCACCTGCTCGACTATGTCACCGTACATAAGCGTGATATGCGTGAAGTGCGCATGACACGTGTACTGTGTGGAGCTGAATGTGGCACTGATCACAATTTGGTAAGGACCAAAGTGTACATATCTTTTCTTAAATCTATGTATTTCCCTCCCGCCGGGAATCGGCGTAAATTTAACATTCACTCCCTCGGTACTGCAGTGAAACGCATTGCGCTGGAGAAGGCGATGGCTGCACGCCTGTGTGGTGATGTGGACTGTATAGCCACAGTGGGCGACCTGTGGCACCACATTTGCGACCAGGTGACAGCTGCTGCCAAGGAGACCATCGGGCGCGCAAACTGTAAGCGGCCTGATTGGTTTGATAACAACAATGGGACGATTGACGCATTGGTGTCGGGAAATAATGGAGCATTTGCTACACATGTGGCAGACCCCAGTGACTTGGGGAAGAGTAGTCAGTTTCGTAAATTTCGACGGCGACTGACCCGAGAGCTCCGTCACATTAAAAATGCATGGTGGACGGAGAAGGCGAAGCAGATGGAATGCTACGCCGAACGTCGCCAACACAAGGAATTCTTTCACTCCTTGAAGGCAGTGTATGGACTGAGATTGGAGCCGCTGAGGACGCTGGTCGATGATGGCTCAGGCGTTACCTGCACGCGGACTTCAGACATAAAGCAGATCTCGAAGAAACACTTTGACTGTCTTTTAAACAACCTTTCGGGGATCGACTGGCCTACATTGAACGGCCTTAAGCAGTACGATGTGAATGCGAATCTGGCATACACGCCGACGCTAGGTGAGACACATAGAGCACTTGCTCATCTGCGAAACGGCAAGTGTGCTGGGGCCGACGGGATCCCGCCTGAAGTATTGAAACATGGCGGACCCGCGTTGGTGACTGCTCTGCATCCTTTGGTGCAACATGGTTGGATTGAGGAGCAGGTGGATGCTGAGCTGAAGGATGCGCTTGTGCTACCACTGTACAAGTGCAAACGGAGCAAGCAATGTTGTACGAATTATTGGAGTATCAACTTGCTGAGCTGTGTGGGCAAGTGCTTGTTCGAATCCTGCTCAACCGCCTCCTCACTCAGGTTGCGAAATCTCACGTGGCGGAAGAGCAATGTGGATTCCGTTCGGGTCGCAGCACTATAAATATGGTGTTTTCGGCTCGTCAGTTGCAAGAAAGGTGCAGAGAACGACAACAGCCGCTGTAATTCCTTTCTGTTGATTTCATCAAGGCATTCGATTTGATGCACCGCGAGGCATTGTGGCTGATGTTGGGTAAGTTTAGTTACCCGCGTAAGTTTGTAAGTTTAATT